TGTCCCAGATGCCAGAGGCAGAGCTACAGAAAATACCTGGCTGGGCTTCAGTCTAGTTTTTGTTGCATCGTTTTCTCTATACCCCTTTCTCTCCCTTTTAGAATGGAAATGTTCACTCTGTACCATTATATATTGGATGTATATAATTTATTTTAATTTTTACAGAGTCTCAGAGCCATGAGTTTGCCTTAAGTATCTAGGAGACTTTGAACTATTGGAGATGAGCTAAATGCATTTTGTTTGGTGATATGGATATGAGCTTTTGGGGATCAGGAGTAGAATGTCATGGTTTGGATATGAGATGCCCCCCCCCCCCTAAAGGTTCATCTTTGACAATGCAGAATGCTTATAGATAAAATGATTATATTACAAGAGCTGTAACTTAATCAGTGAATTAATTCATTTGAATGGACTCATGGTGATAACTGCAGGCAGGTGAGGCATGGCTGGAGAAAGTAGATCACAGGGGCATGTCTTGGGAATTATATATCTGGTCCCTGGCTTCTTATTCTCTCTCTGCTTCTTGGCCACCACAACTAAGCAGTTCCTTTATCATGCCCCATCACCATGATCTTCTGCTTCACCTCAGACCAGAGCAATGGAACCAGACAACCATGGACTGAAGCCTTCAAAACCATGAGCCAAAATAAACTTTTCTTCCTCTAAGCTATTATTATTGGGTATTTTGTTCACAGCAATGAACTCTCAAGCCATGAAAACATATAGAGGAATATTAAATGCACATTGCTAAGAGTCCAGTCTTAAAAGCTTATGTACTGTGTACTTCCAATTATGCCACTTCTTAAAAAAGGGAAAACTACAGGACAGTTTAAAAAATCAGTGGTTATCAGAGATTTGGAGGAGGGAGGGATGAATAGATAAAGCACAGGGAAATTTTGCATCAGTGAAACTCTTTGGTAAAATACTGTAATGGTAAACACATGGCATTATAAACTGTCAAACTGCAATGAATTGCACAACACAAAGAGTGAACCTTAATAAAAACCATGGAGTTTAATTAATAATAATATATCAATATTGATTCATCTGTTTAAACAAATGGACCATACTAATGCAAGACATGAATAATAGGGGAAAGTGTGTAGGTAGGAGAAGGGTGAAATAGGAATTCTCTCTACTATCTGCAGTGTTTTTGTAAATATAAAATTGTTCTAAAAACTATTTTTTTAAATCAGTGCAGAAATCCTCCTTTATATGAATCCAATCTGGCATTTTTCTCAGTAAAATTTCTCTGTTTCTAGCATTTAAATCTCACTTCTCTGTGCAAGATTTTCTTTAGTTTCATATTTCCTAGGTCATTTCTGTCAGAATTAAGGGGCGGGGTAGTGAGAATTCAGACATATGTCCTCAAACTGCCATCTGTTCTCCGAATGGTATCCCATATGTTGTTGATATGTAGAGTTTTCATTGTTGACATTTATGAATTGACTATAATTGTACTTTGATTTCCTTCTTGACTTGAGTTAATTATGAGGATGTTTAAATTTCCAAGTGGTATTCAAAAAAAAAAAAAAACACGTTACTAATTGCAGCTCCATTGCTTGTTTTTCGAAATATATGAATTGCTTAAGTTCTACTTTTTGGAAACTATTGAGCAATTTTCTTTCTTGGTCGTTTGGGATATAACCAATTGTTGAAATGTTGTCTAGATTTTTACAATAATGTGTATCTTTCTTATATTACAAAATTTGGTTTTTCTTGCTTGTATTTTTTCTTCTGTAGAAATAGTAATGTTTTATTATATACATTTAGTGTTATGTTACTTATTACATATAAGTTTATGAATGTTCTATTACCATTATATGTCATGTTTTGTCAATATAAATAATCCCTATATCACATGTAATATCATTTGCTTTGAATCTAATTTGTATTATATCAATATTATAATGAATGCCTTCTTTTAGTTTTTAATTTCTTTATATACTTGTGACCATTCCTTTGTTTTTAAACTCAGATAGTATTTGATTTTAGTGGTTTCTCTTCCAAACAGTATATGGTTGGATCTTAGGGAATATTTTCTTTTAAAATAGTCAGTTTTAGAATGAAGCTTAAGTCATTCGTATGAATTGTGCAAACCAGTGTTTATCATTATTTTACTCTCTTCATTTTAACCTTCCTTTGTTAAGCTTTTCCTGTTCCTTATTTGTTTTTATTTGGTTATTAATTATAGTTGGCTGAAAAAATACCCCCTCCTTGAAACCTATGCATGACAAAAGAGATTTGCATGAGTGATTAAATTAGAAATCTTGAAATGGGAAGGTTATCCTGAATTAGTCCAGGGATTCATAAGCAGGAGGCAGAGGGAGATTTGACACATAGATGAGAAGGTACTGTAATCACAGAGACAGACATTGATTGATGTGTCCACAAGCAAAGGAATGCTGGCAGTTAGCTAAAGCTGAAACAGGCAAGGGATGGATTTTCCCTCAGAGTTTCTGCAAGGCCTAGAGCCCTTCATAGACCTTTATTTGGGTCCAGTAGAACTGATTTGGACTTCCAGTCTTCAGAACTGTGGAGAGAATAAATTTGTGTTTTTTTAAAGTCACCAGACTTACAGAATCTGTTAGAGCAGTTATAGGATACATACATTAATTTTCTCTACTTTTATTTCACTCTGTCATAGCTATATTTAATTTTTAGATTTACTATATCTCCATCAGAATACAGGCAAAAGAGATAGATAAAATATCTAAATGGAAATTTAACATGATTTCTTTCCTGTTACTCTCTTCCCTCATTCCACTCCCAGATTTTTCCCTGAAATTTTTCATAACTACATTTATAATTATTTTGTAAACATTTTATATTTTCCTAACATCTTTACTTACCTTAGTTGTTACTATTCTATCCCCTTTCCTCTTCTGGAGTTTTTAATTTTGAAATAATTCTCAATCAACTCAAATATTTCCTCAAGGAGAATTTAAGGAAGAGCATGTGGTACGTGGTATTAAATTTCCTCCCTTCTATGTATGTTAAAAAAAAAAAAAAAAAAAAACCTGTACTGTGCCTTGGCACAGAAGTTATATTTACAAAATTCTTGGATCATAATTTTTCTTTCAAAACTCTGAACATGTTGTTATACTGTTCTCTGGCATTTATTTTTGTGGAGAAGAAGCGTGATAATTCGAAATGCATTTTTTTAGATAACCTTTAATTTTTTTTACCCTCCCTAGATGTTTGAAGATGTTTCATCTCTGAAGTTGAATATCATTTTGATAGTGTCTCAAAGTTGATCTCTTTTTGCTAACATTTTCTGTTGCTCTGCTCTGTGCCCTGGCACTGTGCCCTGTGCCCTAGCCCCGACTTTGGTGATCCTTCCTATTGCTCCAGGTCCTGACTCAAGGCAGCTACAGATGTTCAAGATTCTTATGACCTTCTCCATGACCTTCCGTCCCATTTGTTGCCTTTCTACAATGCCACCTCCTCCGCTGTGTGTGGTCAGCCTCAATAACTCTGAATTCATGCATTGAACATAGAAGCCTCATTTTTCTCGAAGGACACAAATGTCTGATTTTTCCCTTCAACTAAGCCATCCATTTTCTCTATCTCTATTTGTCTCCTTTACACAAGAGTAAAATTCCTGTTTATGTCTCTCAGGGGAGCCTTCAATCTGAACATTCCTCACTTTCCTCTCCCTGTGGCACTTTCCACAAATTAAGTGCTGAGGTGCATTTGTGGTAGTATTACCAAGATGAGGGGCGGGGAAAGACAGTATACAGATAGTCCCCAACTTCTCATGATTTAATTTATAATTTTTAAACTTTATAGTGGTGCAAAGAATACCTATAAAACCATTCTGTTCTTTCCTTTCAGCAGAGTACTTAATAAATTAAGTGAGGAATTCAACACTTTATTGTAAAATAAACTTCATGTTGATTATCTTGCCCAAATGCAGGCTAATAATGATAAGTCTTCTGAGCTCATTGAAGGCAAGCTAGGCTGAGCTAGGTTAAATATATTAAATGCATGACCAACTTAATGTCTTTTTGACTTACAATGGGTTTATTAAGGTGTAACCCCATTGTAAGTTAAGGAGCAACTACAGTTGGTTGTTACTTGTCTGAGCTGGAGAAAGAACAAAAAGGTACAAATTCAGCACATAGGTAAATATCAAGAAGAAAGACACTCATCTTTAGAACTTCAGTCTTCAGTCTTCTTTACCCTTCTACCCCTTCTAGATTTGATCCTAAGTTTACAAAGCAGAGATAAGCTGGGCTCTTGGTAGAAATGAAGTTTCAAGTTACCTGACAGTTTTCCACCATGATCATCCTTTCAGAGATATTTCATTTAATTACATTTTAAATATGTCACTTGCAGAAGATATTAATTTCTTATATCCCAATTTCTTCTTCTGCAGAGTATGCAAATAAAACTGCACAAGATAATTAAAGGGAGTGGGTAAGGTTAATAAAAGAGGCAGTGAGGAGGAGGGAGAGGAGACTCAGAAACTGACCCTAGTGAACAGCTCTGCTAGAGAAGTGGACGAAGCAGGGGAGCTCTCTGATGGTGTCGGTGCTGCTGATGATAAATGATTCAGAACAGCACATGGACCTACCGAAACCGGAACCCTTCTATCATTTCTCAACCATTCACACTGATAAAAGGCAAATGAACCTTTGTTTCTAATTATTCTGGAATGTCAATTGTGGCAGAGAAAATTAATTTAGCTTTAAAAGTCAATTACAAATAAATGTACCATGCAAATGTCAAGAGGGACTGATCCTGTAATATGGAATTTCCAAGAAGCCAGTTGAATGAGTGAGTGGGAGCTAAAAGCATTCTCACCCATCACCAGTAGCAATGCAAATTCCAGCATCAAGAACTGCAACCTGCTCCTCAGCAGGGAATGTCAGCACGCGCCCCACACAACCCAACCCTCATCCAAGATTTCTAAATAGCATAAAAGATGATTCTTTCCATTACATGTGCTCCTCACCTGTATGACGTCACATAACTCCTCTCACTTGTATTTTTAGGTTGTACTGCTCTATGCCTCTACCTACGTCCTGGTGTCCCTCAGCATAGACAGATACCATGCCATCGTCTACCCCATGAAGTTTCTGCAAGGAGGTAAGCAAGCCTTCTTTCATGAGGCATCTTCCTTGAATGAGGGTGGGATTATTTTCATTGATATTTTATTCTTAACAATAGTGCTCTTATTTCCCTCCTTCTTTTCCTTGTCCTCTCTTTGTTCTCCTTCTTTGTATTTCCTTCCCCACTTCATAGGTCTTGTTGTTCAAAAGGGTATAGAAGAAAAAGCTGAGGTACCTGGGAAAATGCTTACTGTTCCCAGGGATGGCTAAGGACCCACCTTTGACATTGACTCTGTGTTTCCACCAAGATCCTTTAGAGCCCTATTGACAAGCATATCTGCAAAGAAATGAACACTCCCACTTCAACTTGCTCACTTTCTAGAAACTAGCACTTCATAGTTCGTACCCCAAAACTATAGGAAAAAAATGAAAAAGATATTTTTATTGATTATTATACTGAAAACAAAGGAAATCCTCCTTGACCCAGAAATAGTGAAGATCCTTGATAGAAAGAAGCAGATGGGTCAGCCCACAGTACCCCAGATGATGCTTGCAGTAGTATGTCAGTACTCTTAGAACAGACTCTGTAAGTGCCCAGAGCAGGAGAGGACCCAGGAAACAGAAAGAGTGATTTCTTCAGCACAATACAGAGGGTTAAGTTCATTTCCCTTCCAGCTGCCCTCCTTCACTCCACACAGGCAGCAGAAATGGAGTCTCTGCTTTCAAATAAGCAAGCTCAGTGAGAATGCTGAGTTCAATGAGACAGATTGGGGCTGTGGGAAGCCTTGGAGAGATGGTGGGGACCTCACTCTAGGACCAACTGACCACAACTCCAACCACAAGCAGAGGCCACCCTCTTCCATGCCCAGTGTTAAGCCACCTTCCCACAAGCTGACTGTGAAAACTGAAAAAATGAACAACGTAACTGAAAATCTCGGCGACAAACATGAGGAGCAATCAAATATTATTAAGTAACAGTGACAGAAGCCAAACTGTGGAAAATAGATCATACATTTAAAATATCATTCCACAGAATTTACTCCTAAGGAAAACAAAGTTAATAGAGCAAGCAGAACTTTAGAATAAAGTGTAATGAATGTCATTGGAGAGTTGCAAGAAGGTGAGGAAATGTGGTAATTTTCATTTATTATTGACAAGGATATAAACTGACACAGATACTTTGAATAGTAAATGTATTTTTTACTGCTTTTTATTAAAGTGGTAGCTTCCTTAGTCAGCAACTCCAGAGAAGTTGACAATTGTAAAGCTCTTTAGGAAAAATAAATATAAAAATAATTAGAAAAATATCAATAATAGTGAAGAGATTCATGCAGTGCCAGATATTAAAACACAAATCAAACTTTGATCATTAAAACAATAAGATACTGGAACTAGAATAGTATATATAAAGCATATGAACTTTCAGATTAGCTTGGAAAGAATGAGTCAGTATATAGAGTTGTAATAGCTCTCTACATACTTAAAAAAAATTAAATTACCACATGTCACAGTTAATTACAAATAAGGTTCCTGTTAGATTGAAAAAAGAAACCTTTTAAACATAAAAAATATCAAAAGAATATATATGAATAAATCTTATCCAGGGAAATTTGCTTCTAGGAATCATACTAAATGCAGAAATAATAAGGAAAACAAGGAGAGTTTTTTACTATTTCAAAATTATTGAACAATTTATACAAATAATAAACTTCATAAATTAAAAGCAAAAGGATGAATTGAAAATATTTGAACATATGAGGCAAAGAACTAATATCCTTTTTATAAAGAACTTTGACAAAATCAGTCATGATAATCCCATCAACTCAGGACGCTGAAGCGGGAGGATTGCCAGTCTGAGGCCAACCTAGGCAACTTAGTGTGATCTTGTCTCAAAATAAAAATAAATAAAGAGGGCTGGGGATGTTGTTCAATGGTAAAGCCACCCTTATATAAATCCCCAGTACTTTGGCAAAGAAATAAGAACATACAAATTTAAAAACAAAATGCGCAAAAGATATAAACAGATAAAGAAGCAAACACAAATAAATAGAAGATATATATAAAAATGCTCATTTTTAACTAATAACTAAAGAATTGCAAGATTAAACACTTAGATAGAAAATTCTACCAACCAGATAACAATATTTAGAGTAAGAATCCTCTCAGTGTTGGGGGAACACAGGGAATGGGAACTTACACTTTTGGTAGGAGATATACGTTATAGGCAACAGGTGCTAGCATCCCATTTTACACATGAGGAAACTGAGGCTGCAAGCGGTTCTGAGAGGTCCAAGTGGCCCTCTCACAGAAGTCCTTTTCTACAATAGACTCCAAGTGTGTTCCTGAAGATATTCCCAGGTACTCAGGCATCTCTCCTTTTCCTCTGAGCAGAAAAGCAAGCTAAGGTCCTCATCGGGGTTGCCTGGAGCCTCTCCTTCCTGTTCTCCATTCCCACCCTGATCATATTCGGGAAAAGGACACTCTCCAATGGTGAAGTGCAGTGCTGGGCCCTGTGGCCTGATGACTCCTACTGGACCCCATACATGACCATTGTGGCCTTCCTAGTGTACTTTATTCCTCTGACAATCATCAGGTAAGTTGCCAGCAGGCCAGATCCACAAGGGGGCTTTTCTACTTTTCCAGGGACTGCTTTGCTCCCCTTCTGATCACTCATTGTTCTTGATGTCCTTGAGGAACTGTCCAGGTCCTAAGATTTAAGATATAGCTACCATGAGCTAAGCCAACTCCTCCCAAGGAGAGTCAGGAGGAGAGAACTAACATTTACTGAGAATGTGCTAAAGGGTAGGTATTGTGCTACATGGCTAACAATTACCCCATTTCCACAGTACAATCCTGTGAAAAAAGCACCAAAGTCTTCATTTTATGAATGATAAAAAGCCAAATCAAAGAGGTTAAGTAGCTTATCCAACATCACACAGGATTGAAATCCAGGTTTAATTGAACAACCTATCATACCACCTTTCAAATACATAATATGAAACTAGCTTCATGCACCTTATAAATGGAAAGATAGGTATACTCAAAACAAAATAGTTGGTGCACGCTAATATATGAGAGTATGTGGACATTGACTGGGGTCAGGTAATGGCAACAGACATTTCTTGGAAGCCATCATTGAAGGAGGGAAGGAGAAGGAAAAGTAGGGAGGAAGCAAGCGCCCTGGGGACCAGAGATCAGAGGAGTAAGGGCACTGAGCAGACAGGCAGGCAGTTCCATTGAGAAAGAATTTGATAATGGCTGGGGTAGGTTCCTTGTGAACGGCCTGAGCAACTGAGCCCTAAGATGTCCACTTGGTCCTACAGCCAATGGTGGGTCACAGATTGTCTTTCAGGACAGATGACCACAGCACCCTGTTCAAGGCAGGATCTCACTGGGTGAAACAGTAGTCCTCCATGTGTGGATAGGGTGAGGGACCGCAGGGAAACCCATGTTAGCTGTGTATGTGGGCCACTTTTGGGGTGCCCCCACAACTGCCAAGATGTGTCACATAACGTGTCCTGGATAATGGAAGATCAGCCTTTGATTTTTGGTAGTACAAATACTGTGATAAAACTCCTTGTAATTAAAATTATACAGGAGTCTGACTATGTCTGCAGAACTCATTCTAGTGGAGTTTCTAGATCAAAGATGATGCTCATTTTGACCGCTGATGTATATTCACAAACGATCCTCAGGAAAGGTCTGCTCCAGCCAAAAGCATTGGTTTCCCTTCTTCAGCCCAGTGCAAAAGAGACCCATTTTCTTTTTATTAAATCTTTCCCAAACTGCAAGGGTAAGAAAATATCTCATTGTTTTAATATTTTTTTTAATTATTAAGCTGCTTGAATATTGTTCAAGTGTTTCTTGATATTGTAGGAATCACCTTTTTGTGCTCTCTGTTGCTTAACTTGAGTCTCATGAAATACTAAATCTGGGAGAAACATTATCCATAACACATCCCACCCCTCAATTTTTGGTAAGAGTAGATTTAGGGCAAAAAGAGGCAAAATAACTTGCTCCCTATAAGAGGTGGAGCTGGGCAGGAACAGAGTGACTCCAAAAAAATCAGATTTTAACATCACTGAGCTTGGATGTTGTCCAGTCTTGCTGCTGGATTGACAAATTAACATCCACATTTAATTTCAATTTGCTGCCCTCCTTTCTATCGAGCTGAAGGTGGGAGGATGCTTGAAGGGAAAATGAAGCTTATTTAGACAACCAATGAAAGCTAAGTCTTAGCAACAATGTTAGAAGGGGCTGGGGGAAGAGGAGAGAGCAAGAAAGCATTTGGAAAGAGCAACTCATGTGATCAAAGGCAACTGAGGCATTGATTTCCACGGCAGCACTGCCCTGGCTTCACTTCTGATTGATTTCCACTCTGCTGGGGGCACAGCCCAGACTCAGCTGGGTGGATGCAGCAGCACATAAGGTGACTCTCACAGCCCACAAGGACAAGTATCTAGCCACATCTCACATCTTTCACCATCTGAGAGTTCTTCCTATATTAATTCAGGCTTTTTTTTTTCCAGTTAACTCAAGGACTTCTTAAACTTGCCTTTAGCTTAACTTGTCCTTTTTCCTTAAGTGTCCTTGAAATGGCAAAATATAATTTGTTTGCTGATTAAGGGAAATGATTTCAAAAGCGAGTTTCACCCAGCTCTCATCAAATAAGGCCTCCTTCAGGCCTGCTCCTGGCTCCTCACTTCCAGACAGAACAGTGAACTCTAGTCGTGACCTCCCTTGTCCTTGAGTTTCTGAAGAAGCAATTCCTGTCTCACAAGAAGCCCGATGATCATCCTCTAGCTCTACTTTTCCCTGGGAAAAAGAACATGGTGGCTCCTCTCTCTGGGGGACAGCGCATACTCCACCTCTTGAACCAGGGCCAGGCCCAGGTGGAGTTTTGTGAAGAATTTGTTTTCTACCTAGTTCTTGATATTTTATAGCAGCCAAGCCAGGGAACCTACCTGAGGTCCCACACCCACCCCAACCCCTCCCTGCTGGCTGGATTCAGTCACCTTCCCTCATAAGAAATAAAGAATGTAAAAAGATAAGATGAACTTAATGCAGTTTGGCCAACACTGAGTAGAAACAGCTAGACTGTCTCTTTGCAGTTCCTACAGACGTGGTTAAGATATATAGAAAGAAAAGGCAGGGAATATATATAGGTAGATTTAGCTAAGCAGAGAACACATCACAATTTCTTTTTCAATCTTTGATGGCACTGCCTGAGCTTTGGGCAAAGCTTCTCAACTTCCACTGACATAAAGAAAATAACAAACAGGAAGCTGCAGAAAAGTATTTTAGCTCTTTCAATTTCAAAGGGGCTCTGTTACAGCATAGTCTATGTCTCAGGCCTAAGATTCAACTCATCTCTCCTCTTCCTTCTCTCTCTCTCCTTTCCTCCACCACCCCTGCTGCTTTTTCCTTTCCCATACTATCTTGAGTATCTTTCTTGTGCCTCTTTTAAGCAAGGTTAAATAAACTCCTAATGCCAAGCTTAAGTAAGCAGAAGGACCAGTTCAAAGTTCTAAGTTTGTAAACCCTACCTCCCTGTTCTCAGACATGCTGTATATGCTGTATATGTCCTTATAAAATCAATAGGCCAAAAACCTTTGTCATTTTATTTGGCATTTCTTTCATCACAAAAGATGAAAGAAATTTTTTTTCATCTTTGTTTATTGCCATTTTTTAAAACGAAGTACATATTCAAATTCTTTTACTCATTTTTTGTTGGAATGCTTTCATTTGCTATATTCTTAATCTTTGAGATAGTCTTTATGCATTAACCTTTTTTCTGTTTTTAATGTTGTGAATAGCTTGTCATTTGCCCCTTCATATTGGATATGGTTTTATTTTGTTTCCTTAATTGACATAATTAAGAAAAGGAGAGAAAGTAAAAATAACTGAGTTCCTGGCTTTTCTGCCATGAATAGCACATGGTTTTACTTACTGAAGCTTTACATTCATTTAATATTGGCTAGCACAAGATGACTTATCCTTTTCAAAGACTCCCTGGCTACTCCAGGATAAGCTTTCGATGCCCACTGCTTGCCCCTGCTGCAACCATAACCAACCATTTGCTGTTTGATGAAGAAACATTCCTCTCACCCGTGTGTCTCATTTTCATTAACAACTCCATGGTGGATCTGTTCCTGGCAACCTTAGGCCAACGAGCATATCATGTCTTCATTTCCCTAAACTCAACCTCTCTTTGCTCATATTATTTTTAAAACTTGGTAGTAGTGCAATCCCCTGCTTGTGCGGCCACAGCTTGTGAATACAAGGACTGCTGCCTCCTAATTTCTGGATTCCAACCTGGCACACCGTGGGCACTTGGTGCCCTTGGCCAACATTGGACTGAGTGAACAATGCAGACTGCATGATAAAGTGCACCAGTCACCCAACAGATTTGTCATGTCTCTCTCTGTGTCTGTCTCTGCCCATCGCACTGCCCCCACCACCCCACACACACCTAATTCAGAAATTTCTGATTACATAGTACCTAGGTCAGTTTGGGGTATGTGGTAGCTCCTCCATAAGTACATGTGAAAGGAAGTGAGGAAAGACAGCAGGGAGGAAGAAAAGAGGAAAAGGGAGGCATTGTACTGTCTGTGACAAATTCTGCCAAGAGCTGGGCATGAATAAAGATGTTGCTGATCCATCGTCAACTTAATCAGGCTCCCAGGATTTGAAGTCATAGTGACTGACAGCAAAGGCAATACCTAGCTTTTCTGCTCAAAACAACTCCAATGGTTTTAAAATTCATTTGACATAACTGTCTAATTGTTGCAGGGGAGGTTATTAGCCCTGCAGTAATTGCTTTACACTAGCTTGTGCTTATTTTCTTCCTATTTAATTGATTTCTTATCCTCCTATTATTCTTATCTCTGTGAGATAAAGGTATAGGCAGAGAAGATCCATGGCCAAAAATTACAAAGGAATAAGTGGAAAAATGAACATTAGTCATGGAGCACTGATTTGTAATATGTGAGAAAAATCTATTTATTTTGCTTAGAGAATAGCACTTAGTCTGTAGGAAAGTCCCCAGGCTGGTTGGTCCCCTGTGGAGTACAAGGCCCTGGTGAGTAAAAGGTCCCCAGTGGCCTGGGAAGATCTGTCCATGGCCTTGAGGTCCAAGATCCAGGAGAATAACAGGGGACTGAGCCAACATATCCTATCAGGAAAGAAAGTGACATCCTATATATTTTGTTACCCAAGAGGTGGCAAAATGTTAGTATATCTTTAGAGAAAAAAAAAATTCTCACTAGTTTGCCACATTCTGGTGAATGTGTTGAATTTCCAACATCTATTCCATTTCCACTCCTGGTTATTCATGGCAAACCCTCCCCTGAATTTGTGAATGGTTCAGGAATGATCTTATGAACCAATTCTGGCCAATAAGGCATAAGAGAAACTCTTCTGGAAATGTTTTGATTTCTCCATCCTCAAGATAGAAGTCTAGGAAAGGAGCTCCATTGCTGTGCCATGCTAGTCTGTAGCTGGAACTGCTGTAGCTTGACAAGAAGTTACACTGAAAAGAGAAGAGGGAGAGATATGAAAGGAATGCAAGGTTTTAAAGTTTAGCTAGCCATGGCTTTGAAGTTGCAATTAGGAGAGATAATAGATAGTCTAACTGCCGATATCAATTTGGATTGGGAGTTAAGTATGCTCATTGATACCCAACTATTCACACCTGCTGGTACCAGACATCAGTGAATTCATCTGATCTACTGCAGACTTTAAAGTGACTTCTTCTCCTGTTACCTTGAAGAGATCTCAGTTAACTCCATGGTACCAAAATGAGTTATTTGGGGCATCCCTTTCTCTGTCCTGGAAGCCCATCTGACCTGGGGCTAAAGAAATACATATATCAGGACTTTAGATTTTTCTTAGTTCCTTAAAGTAGCAAGTTGTCTCTACATCTTTCTACCCAATGATTAATTCTGCCTTCATACTGCCCCAACCCCAACTGCATACAGACATGTTTGTGAGCCATAGACCCTTCATGCTTCTTTCAATTTATTCATTATTTCTGGAAATTCCTATATATCACCCACTCTTTGTCAAACATTGAGCTAGGTAAGGGGAATACAGCAGTGGTAAGACATACATGGCTTCAAGAATCTTCCCTAATCACAGAAAGGCAGCCAGCTAGGTAGTGGGGAAGGGGGGAGTTACATCTTATGGTAATGTGCATTAGAGTCTGGTAAAGTGGAGAGCCCTAAGGGACCCACAGCAGGAGGTGCTAATCTGGTCCAGAGATTAGTCAAAAGGTCTAGGAATAAGTAACTAAAGCCATATGTAGCATATAAGCCTCAAATATACTCTGCAAAGGACCCTGTGTCCCCTCTTTGCTGTGATACAGTCTCACATGCTGGCTAACAGCCTATGAAGTCAGAGGGCCCAGGATATGGTCTACCCTATCTTCTAGTTGTGTAAACTCAGCCAAGTCATTAAATCTTTCAAAGCTACAGACTTCCCATCTACAGTAATATTGATAGCATTGTCCATATGGACAATGGGGAGATTAAATGTTACAACCTCCACAAAGAATTTGGCCTAATTATTGGTTGACTGTTAAGGGTGAGCAAATCACCATTATTGTCACAGTTACCATCATGTTAGAGCTTGGCTGGCCAATAGACCTCAATAGGAATCATTTTTCTGACACTTCTGTTATGGTTTGGATCTGGAATGTGCCCCAAAGTCTCATGTGTTCAGAAGTGGGGCTTCTATAAAATGATTATATCATGAAGGCTATGACCTCATCATTGGATTAATCTATTGATGACTGCATGGACTACTAGGAAGGGAGACCTAGTTGGAGGAAGCAGGTTGCTGTGGAAGTGTCTTGGAAGGGTATATCTTATATCTGGCCCCTTGTGCAACCCTCTCTCCCCTTCCAGATGCCATGAGCTGAGCAGCTTTCCTTTGCCCCACCCTCCCCCCATGATGTTCTGACTCACCTTGGGTCCACAGCAATGAAGCCAGGCAACATGGAATGAATCCTCTAAAAGTATGAACTAAAATAAATCCTCCTTCCTCAAAGATGTTCATGTCAGGTATTTTGTTTACAGCAACAAAAAGCCAACTAACATAACTACCCATTTGTGAGACTCCGGTTTTATCATCCATAAAGGGGAGACAGTGCCCTTCTTCCCATCATTCATATATAACATCCCCAAATAAAAACAGAAACATAATTAATATGTGTTAAGCATTTACCATATGGAGCCCAGCACCGTGTTAATAGATGGAGTTAATGAGACAAGGATGTCAAGTGCTTTATAGAGGAGCAGGCACACAGCAGGGCTCAACACTCACTACTCACCCCCTGACCAAGTCCCGCAGAGCGCTGGGGCAAGAGGTGAGGCACATGACTCTTGCTCCCATTTCAGGATTCCTGAGCCAAACGATATACATTTCTTCTGGGGCATATTTTCTCCATCTTAGCATCAGGTTACTCTATTCTGGTCACTTCATAAAGGATGGAATCAAATCCAAGGACAAGTCAATAGCAGTCCCATAATTGTTACCTTCTTTCACCGGTCGAGTGGAATAGCTCCCTGTCCATTCCTTACTCCTTTTTAATCTGTGCTCCATACCATATCCAAAGCCACTATTTTGTGTGGACAGTTGCTCAGCATACAAGAGTATGAAATAAAAAGTAGAAATTTTCCTCACTCCCTCCTTTCCTACTTAGATGTATCACTGAGAGACATTGCCTTTGTAGACAATTCTAGGACTATTTAATTCCTCTACAAATATATATATATATATATATATATATATATATATATATATATATATATTCCCTTATTTTATACACAAATGAAAACAAATCATACATAATGAAAATGCCTGAACTGTGGAAAAGAATAAGTTGATCAATCATTTCACTTTCCTCCTAAAAGTCCTTCAGTAGGTTTCTATTGTCTCAGAATCATCAAAATTTTAACTTCCCAGGGTGCAGTGGCACATACCTGTAATCCCAGCAGCTTAGGAGGCTGAGGCAGGAGGATCACAAGTTCAAAGCCAGCCTCACCAACTTAGCAAGGCCTTAAGCAACTTAGCAAGACCCTCTCTCAAAGTATAAAAAGGCATGAGGGTGTTGCTCAGTGGTTAAGCATCCCTGGGTTCAGTCCCAGGTACCAAAAGAAAAAAGAAAAAACCTTCGACCCAATGCACAAGGTCATGAATGATCTGTTTCTTGCTTCACTTTCTGTCCGCATCTCAGACCACATAATCTGCTTTCTCTCCAACTTCTAGCCACATTGGTCTTCAAGTGCACCACACTCTCTCCTGCCTCATAACCTTTGGGTATGCAGCTTGCTGTACCTGAGATCACCCTCTTCTGCATTTGGAAAACATTTTTACCTTTCAGGTCTTAGCTAAAAGTTTACCCTCTCTGGGAAGGTTTCCTCAACCCCCAGAATAACTCAGGGCCCCTGTTATACCATTGCAGCACTAGCATTTTATCTTTATAGAATTTTATTCCTTGAAATCACATAGTACTTGTGACATTATTTTATTATTGTCTAGCTCCCCAAATAAAATGTGGGCATCCAGGGGACCAACACCTTGTCTGTTTTACCAACCACAGTTTCCATGGTGTTTCAACTAGTGCCTGGGACAAACAGGTGTTCAAAATGAATATTGTGAAATTAATATTTATGAAGGAGAGAGACACATTAAGGCACCTGCTTGTAGAAGAGTTAAAAGGGCATTTTTGTCAAGTGTTGGGCCAGCTATTCCAAAACACAAGGGCAGAACAGAGGGGCATGTGGCTTCTAACAAGATCTCAAGAGCACAACTGGACATAATCGTCAGGCCCCAAATATGAGGGTCAGGAAAGCTGGTTGGCAGAGTGGGAGCCTTAGGTCCTCTCTGACTCTGAAGGTCTATGGCTCAAGACTGCAAGAGGTATCCAACAAGTCCAAACCCTGGGCCAAGTCCTTGTAATCTCAGTGGAGCAATGCCCGTTGTGTCCTGTGGGAGAACAAACTATTTTTTTCTGTTTCCTGAATGCTTACCATACATGACCCAGAAGACAAACTCAGAAACTATCCTCAGGCATCCTCCTTAGAGTCCTTGAGTCTCACTCTGGTAACCTGGGATCTCGCCTTGTCTCACTTACCATGGGTTGCCTCTGTGAATGACATGAAGGAAAATAGTTCTGTGTTTAGATTATCTCCTCTAAAATGAGGAACTAAACCAGCCAGTTCAGGAAAGAGACACTTTCCTCAATCTGAGAAGTCCTTCAGTTTTCAGATTTCGAAGATGTTTCCAGAAAAGCTAAGCCTATTGAGAAAGCAAAGATAGACCAAAGACAAGGAATAAGTTGTAACAAAGATGCTTTTTCTTAGCTGTGTTCTAAGAATGGTCTACTTCCATAACTGCTGATCTCTAATACCTGACTGCCATAGACAAGACTCCATGCAGCCAATGTTCTCCTACCATGGAGGCCCCAAGAAAGGGCAAGCCGATAATCATGGGAATGCAGCTCAGGAAGTTTTCATATAAGAGTAATTTGTAAAGGATGTGTTTGAAAAGGAAGAAAATATGTTCCAGGTAGAGGATAAAGTGGGCACAGAGATAAGGGAAGAACGGGAACTCACATTCATCCAGACTACTGCATCTAAAGCATGAAGTCGGGGTACATCTGTTGGCCTACTTGCATTGATTGACCAACCTGGGAAAAGATATATCAAAAGACAGTGAGTGGAGGTGTAGGAGGTGATGATGGTGAGGGTGAGGAAGGCCCAGGTAGGCTGTGGAAAGATTGGATGCCCTATTAAAGAGACTGGATAGCATCTCTTGGGAAAGTGGAACCACGGGGGTTAGGGAGAGGGTTGAGCCAAAGAATGGTCTTCTATCCTACACCTCCAGCTCTGATGGTGGCATGGGCATTAGAGGTGACAACATAGTGTGGGTGATTGAAGATATGGCAATAATGAGGCAAGCAGTTATCAGGGAACTTCTTGGATAACACATATACTGAAATTGGAATTAAGCAGAGATTAGCCTGGCTCCTGTGCAAAGACGAAACATAAATTCACAAAACATTTCATTTTTGTGTGTATGTGTTTTATGGAGACAGTTTCAGCTGGGGAAGGTGATACTTTCTGGAGATGGGTAGTAATGATGGTTGCACAGTAGTGTAAATGCTCCTAGGGCTGTAGAACTGCACCATTAAAAATGACTAAAATAATAAATTTTATGTATATTTTACCACAATAAGAGAGGTTATCAAAATGAAAAAAGATAGATTGCAAATATTTGTCCTAATGCTGAAGAGGAGAGGTAGAGAGAAATGTGTATTTGATTAAGTCATTTTTAAGGGACAATCCACAGAATTTGTGATTAGGGCTAGGCATGATGGCATACATCTGTAATCCCAGCAGCTCAGGAGGCTGAGGCAGGAAGATCATGAGTTCAAAGACAGACTCAGCAAAAGTGAAGCACTGAGCAACTCAGTGAGACCCTGTCTCTAAATAAAATTCAAAATATGGTTGGGGATATGGCTCAGTGGTTAAGTGCCCCTGAGTTCAATTCCTGGAACCCCCCCCCCAAAAAAAAAAAAAAAAAAAAACTTGGTGATTAGTTAAATGAAGGAATAGTGCTATGAAAGAAGAAGACAAAAATTATGCAGGTGTCTCTGTGATGCATGGCTGCTACATTGTAAGAAAATAGCTTGGTTTGAGCAGTAACTGAAAGGGATACCCTAGCAACCAGGTGTTTGCCTGGCTAACAGTGAGGCTGGCCCTACCTTTCCACTTATCTGATTGGTCCTAAGTAGAAAAAGAAAAATCCCTAACTCATAGGACCTTCCTGAACTTTTTTATTATGCATATGGGTTGATGGTCAATAAATGTTTGAATTACTGATCAATTAAATACTAGGGTTCTAATTGCCAGACACCATTAACATTTCATGGTAGTTGTAACCTTACCTTGAGTTTCATTTACCTCGGAAACAAGTTTCTCTGATCTAAGAAACATTCAGCTTCGGGTAAAGAATAGACTCACAAGTTTTTCCCCATTTTTTTCTGTAATGTAGGCATATAAATTCCAGAAAAGTCCCTGGGAAGGAATATGAAAAGGAGTAGGAAGCTCCAAAAAGGCCCCGAGCTTTCCTGGAGCACCCAGAGGAGCTTGCTGAGCAAGTGGGAGAGGCAGTAAGGGCTGGTGTGCTCCAACCATCATTGCACAGTCATTAATTAAGCTATAGTCTAAAGATCATTAAAAGCAATTAGTGCTTTGTCAGTTACTACAAACTGGAGCTCTGATTTCTTTACTTTCTTTTTCTTTTTCTTTTTTTTGAACTAGTGATTCACAAGAGGAAAGATGATGCAGTTTTAAAATAAAGCAGTGCTTTCTCTCAAAGTTTTTAGTTGAAGTGCTTAAATAAACTTGAAATGTCAAATAACATTTAAAAAGAGTCTAAGGTTTTATATTTAACAAAGGAGACTTAGAATGCAAACTTTGATGATGTGTGTTAATCATTAATATTCTGTTAGACCCAGTTGATATCATTCAAGAATGTGAATGATATAATGTGAAAAACAGGCAAAAAAAAAAAAACCTAAAAATGGAGAAATTACATTTTCAAGACTCTACTGATTTTCAAGTTACTAAATGGTGCTTGGCACTTTAAGTACTATCATATTTGACACTCAAAAAACTCAGAGGGTGTGTGTGTGAAGGACAGCAGAATAAAATAGACATTATTATTGCTGTGGTTATATACGTGACTGCATGACCAATGTAATTCTGCAACCTGTACACTCAGAAAAATGAGAAATTATATCCCATCTGATTCAAATGTATGATATGTCAAAAAAATAAGTGTACATTTTAAATTAAGGAATTATGTGACCACATCCAAGAACTGTATGTAAACTGTAATATCATCCTTTGACAAATTTAATGTTAAAAAAGTTATAGAAAAATGTTCTTATACTCAAAAAAAAACCTCAGAGGGGGTGTGTGTGTGTGTGTGTATTCTTTATATTATATATGTGTATACACAAACACTATATATACATATATATATATGTTCCTCAGATGTTTGTATCATTAACCCCATTTTACAAACTTTCAACTGAAGTTTAGTGTATTATCTACTACTATGGGAACAAATCATCACAAACCTACTGACTTTAAAATAATGTCGTTGTTATCTATAGTTTTTGTGGGTGAAGGGTCTGGGCAAGGCTTAACAGGGTCCCTGCTTAGGCAAGGCTGTCATTGGGTGCTAACTAGGACTCGGGGGTCATCAGAGGGTCAGCAGGAGAAAGCTCTTTTCCAAGTTCCCTCTGGCTTTTAGCAGAATGAATTTCACTGGGGCAGCAGGATTCTCAGTAGCTTGCTTCTTTAAAGCTAGCAAAGGAGACAGGCACTAGCAAGGCAGGTGCTTCACCCTATGTAATCACATGCAGCACACTGGGTTGATCAGAAGCAAGTTGCAGGTCCTGTCCAAATGCAAGGAAGAGGGTCTCGCAAAGGCATCAGTAGCAGAGGCAAGTGCACAGAGGCCACCTAAATTGTTCACAGTCAAGGTCATACAGCCAGTACATGATAGGGGAGACCCAGTTCTTTCTGACAGCAAAGCTGGTGTTTGGAGTCTCATCACAGCTGTCCCTCAAAGCACCTGGATTGTTTGACTTCCCCAGGTCCTGACCTCCTCACTTAAAATACAAGCAGCTCCATTCCACTGACCTTTTATGGTTCTCCCTGTTTCAGCAAGTGTGGCAAGCAGGTTGCTTGAGAGCTCATCATCAGGAAAGTGGTAATAGTCACCCTGTTTGTCCTAACAGGAGGGACCCACTAGGTATTTTAATATTCCCTCTGGTCCTTTCAGCATCATCTATGGCATTGTGATCCGAACTATTTGGATTAAAAGCAAAGCCCAGGAGATGGTGATTTCTAACTGCTCGGGTAAGTCTCCATATCGCCCAGTTTGTGACTAATTTTGCCCCTGAAAAGGTTTTCCTCTAGCAAACATGAGCTGGGGTTTCCTGGGTATACAAACATGAGCTGGGATTTCCTGAATGGTTTTATATAAGCCTGCACAATTATATCAGGACCTATCTCACAGATCAAACCCACCAAACGCTGTCTCTGGGAGGCACTGTCTTCCCCACTCGGCCCCCTGAAAACAGGGAGAAGCAGTCTTTGGGCCAAGATTGAGAGTCTCTCTAATCTCAGGTTAGGCAGGGAGCACCCTGGAGGATGCAGGAATGAGAGACACCATGCATTTAGCAAACATGAGGCTGGGCCTTTCTGTTGGATTTAGAGATGAGTAAATCTGCCATCTGTCCAAGAATGATCCTGGGCTCCAAGCCAGCTAAGGAATGGTCCACATGTTTTCCTCGCTGCCCCAACACACCAACTTAAAACTTGTCTGCACCTGAGATTGCCCGCTAGGACCCTTCCCAAATTTGTTTCAGTGAACCTGGATATGCAACACCTCCTAAGCAACAGCTCTGAGACCTAGAGGCTGTCTCTGCTTCCCAAGCAAGTTTCCTGGGCCTGACTCAGGTACCACCTTGGAGAAAACACAGCAAACTAACAGGCCAGAAAGAGTAAAAAGGGCTGCTGGTTTCATGTTTGTTATAATGTGATAGTTGCTAAGTCATGCAACTTCTCTGGTCTTCAAGATATTAAAATGAGGGGCTCAACTTGGCCCCCTATAAGTTCTCTTCTTTTCAGACATGGAGTTAACCCACCTGCATTGGACCAAGATGGAGCTTATTGCATTCCCCTAGAAGCTCCTTATTCTCATGTGATGTGGGCCAACCAAGAGGATTCACAAGGGTCACTGGACACTGGTGATCTGTGTCTCTTTCCCTAGGAGAATGAGTAGAGATGTAAGTCTTCATGTTCTTCTCTGAAGTTCAGTTAGTTCTGCAGTGCTCTGCATCCAGGAGTGGTACAAAGAAATGGGAATGACAAATGAGGCCATAGAAAAGTTCCTGACTATAGGCAGCTGGCAGTCTAGGACCTTGTGTCCCAGCAACACAGACACACAGGTCAGAGGGACAGGGAGAGCCACTTCACTCTTAGCCACTTCACTAGGTGAAGTGCATTATCTCCTTTACTCCCTACAAACCACTGGAGGTGGTCTTATTGATTGTCTTTTCCAGATAAAAGATTGAAAGGTTAAGCTTGTTTCTATGGGTAGCATGTGACATGACCAGGAATGTACATGATTGACCAGAGAGCTCCTGCTTTCTTGCCTAAATCAGGCTAGGATGCCTCCCAGGAGGAAGAACATTATAGAAATAGAAATGGTGAATGGCTAAAAGAAAAAAAAAGAAAACTGCTTTTGATTAAACATCCAAGCTCAAGGTCTTTGGCATGGCCTTTCCTCTATGGTACTCTCCTGTTGCCTTCAGAGCACCACACTGTCTCATTTTCGGAAGTTTTTATTTGGATATATTTAAAATCTCATGACTGGTATGTTTAGGGCCAACTTTGCTGAAACAGCTAGGTCCCCCTATACTTTTAGATAATTAAATTCATTTAAGCCCCTGTCCTGTGATTTCTACAATCCCAGCAGGCTAGCCTGCTCCTCCCTGCCTGCCCCTCTGAGCACACAACCTCACTGACTCCCCTTCTCCAGCTTTCTACTCCCTACACTCCTGTGGCTTCAGAGTTTGGAGCCCACCTTGTTTTCCATGAGTTGACAACTCAAAAGAGTGAAGAGTTGATGCTTCTGGAGGTTTGGGGTGACAGAAAGTTTCCACATGCTGCCAGCTACTTGCCCCTCTTTGTCAGCAATCCTCTCCTCACTATGGTTGAGGTCCTGTCTCTCTCCAGAGTTCCCCCCTGACTCCCTTTTACTACATCTTCCAGTCCCTGCACTGTTAGACTCCCCCGACCTTCAGTACTGAAGGTTAGAGATTTTTTTTCCATTGAAATACACTATGTCATTGCCCTCCCTGGAGGTAGAAATGCTACAGTTTTTACTCTTTAATGTAATTGTGCATCTCTGTTACACCTATTTTTCATTGTCTCTATTCTTTAAGACCATTAGTGACCTCCTTCTGGAATGAGGCCAGCTGGTATTCTCAAAAGATCATATGTTTTCTGTGTCTTCTTCACAAATGGATCTCACTTGATTTGCTATCTGTCATAACAGCCAAGCAGCACTGGAGTTGGCCGGTAAACAGGAACTCCAGTGGTGCTGGCATGCCAGGATTATTGCTCATCAACAAGAGGACATTAGCAATGATTAGTGTGAACAGAAGCTCACTTTGTAAACACTGGCTGCAAAATTCAAGCCATCCTTCATGTAGGAACCATTCTTCTTGCTGACAAATAATGTCTATTTTCTCCCGCTCAAAGGCGGACTGAAAGAAAAAGCAAAACTGGTTCATAAATGATCTCGAGACGTTCCCCCAAACAAGTGTAAAGGGTGATAGGTGGATCAATTTCCCAACCTTACACACGGTCTTTCATAAAATGAGCATGCTCTTATGTCCATGCTCTTAATGCCCTATAAACTAGAACATTTCCCATGTGGAGGCAGGAGACTTGGGGGCAGGGGGCTCACCCAAGGAGTAAACCAAGTATAACATATCTGGATGGGACTGGGACTTGCAATTATGGCTTGTCAGATGTGATGTGATCCATGCTGTCTCCAAAGTGCATGTTTCAGATTAAATGAGGCAGAATGGAGTGAAGGAAAAAAGGCATAGATTAGAAAGTGGGTTAGAGTTCTGTCACTGTCTACATTAACACATTTAAGATAAACCCATTAATTGCTAGAAACTATAATTAAAGAAATGAAATCAGATCTTTACCTCCATCCATAAACAAAAACAAATTCCAAGGGACTTGGAGACTTAAATGTGAAAATGAAGACTTTCAAAATGAAAGCAGACTTGGTCTTAGCATCCCCATCTGTAACCATCAATACAATGGCCTCTCTACAGATAAACTACATTTAACAAAATATGTTCAAAAAAGTATCAAGATACAAATAAATAAATATTATAACATGTTTGTGGATAGTAAGATTCAATATCACAAAGCAATGACCCTTCCAACCAATCGAAAATTTAATACAGTTCCAATAAAAAAATGGATTGTACTAGTATATTGAGATTGATAAGCTGCTTTTAAAATATACACTAAAAAATCAAGGGCCAACAATAGCCAAGACATTCCTGGAGAAGCAGAACAATGCAGAAGAGGTTTGCTGTACCAAATGTTAAGATTTATTACAAAGTCACTGTGGTTAATAGAGTGTGGTGTTGGCACAATACAATAGACAAATAGAAAATAAAACAGCCCCAAACAGACCTGCACATATATGAGAACTTGATAGATGTCAGAAGATCATACGAAAAGAAATGAAATCAGATCTTTACCTCCATCCATAAGCAAAAACAAATTCCAAGGGACTTAGAGACTTAAATGTGAAAATGAAGACTTTCAAAATGAAAGCAGACAATATCTTTATGACATTGAGGAAAGGAGGTTTTCTTCAACAAGATACATGATACATTGAATTATAAAAGGAAAAATGCATAAATTTGACTCTGTTGACACATAAACTATCAATGCACGAACTGGGAGAAGCTATTTACAACACATATAACTGGGAAAAGATAGTATGCAGAATATATGAAGAACTACTGAAAATCAATTTTAAGAACATTTTTTTAGTGACAAACATTTTAAAAATCAGCACAAAGGGAAACAGGAATAGCCAAAAATTAGATTCAGCACTTCATCAGTACTCAGGAAAGTACATGTTTAAATCTCAATAACTTTCTACCACGGAATTAGTAAAATTGTAAAAATCTGATAATTCGAAGTATTGGCAAAGATATGAATCTCATGGTTTATGGTTTCCTTGGAAATATAATTCTTCAAAAACTTAGTAGACTCTTATCTATTTGCTTTCTGATCTTACATGTTAGAAACTATAATTAAAAAGTTATTCTTAATAAAATTCTCAGATCTAATTTTTTTTCTGTGCTTCCTCAACCAATCCCTACCCATCAACTTGATGGAAACTAGCTGGAGGTCATCAGAAACAATAGGTGGGAGGCCACATCCCTGGTCTGATCTTTGCTTTAAGAATAAATCTTAAGGGATATTTTCTAATTAAAATCTCTCAATGTTATAGCTTAATTTGGAGACCAGGGCCAGATTTAATCCTGTGCATTTAAGAAAGGCTCATGCTGGGCATGGTGGCACATGCCTGTAATCCCAGTGGCTCTGGAGGCTGAGGCTGAGGCAGGAGGACTTCCAGTTCAAAACCAGCCTCAGCAAAAGCAAGGTGCTAAGAAACTCAAGACCCTGTCTCTAAATAAAATACAAAATAAGTCTAGGGATGTGACTAATGGCCGAGTGCCCCTGAGTTCAATTTCTGGTACACACACACACACACACACACAAGAGAAAGGCTCATGTTTGGTTTCATGTTCTGCTTCCATTTTCATTTTGCCCTGACCCACACAAAGTATGTAACCAGGATCTTTGGAGACTAGAAGCTGTTGGCATTTGTCATTCTGCAAGATCCCAAATTGGGGGACTTTCTCAAACTCCTTTTATATTTACTCATAAACCAACTAACTCTTATCTGAGTTCATTTCTTTTTCCCAATTCCTTGCTAAACACAGCTGGTAAAAATCAATAGGCACTATTAAAATTCACTTTAACAACCTCACCCCCTGGGATCCAGGCTCAGTAGGCACAGTCTGCCTTCCCAGGCATCATATGTGGCACTTCTAACAAATGGATCGCTAGAGTCCCAGCTTCCAGTCTCAGTGTCCTTGCCACCTGCTGCCTGCCCACATAGCCAGTGCCACATGTTAGACTTTTATCAAGACAACATTGCATGTAAGATACCAGTTTCTGTTTTAGTTAGGAAAACACAAGCAAGCAACTGTGTCAACTCCAAAACACCAGTACCCTTAACAAAACCTAGGTTTATCTCTTGCTCAATTAAATTCCAATTGGCAGTAAAGGCCAAAGGGAAGGGCATTGTTCCATACAGTTAAAAATTCAAGTAGGTGAAAATTCTGCTACATTTAACAAAGGGCTACTTAAGGTATTCCTCAGCACCTGCATGCAGAAGGCAGGGGTGGGGTGAAAAGTGGAGGTTTTTTTTGTGGCTTATTGGAGTCAGGTCTGGGGAGGAGAGACATCAATTCTTCCCCTAGTCCCCTAAAGCAGAACTTAGTCTCATGACTATAACCTGCCAAAAAGGCAGTTGGGGAACATAGTATAGCTGCATGCCCCGGAGAAGGAAAGGGTTTGATGGACAGCTCACTCATCTCTGCATTATTAAAGGCCTGTCTGGGTTCCTGGTTTTGCCTGAGCTAAGAACTGAGGTGCAGACATGGCTAACTGGTACGTCAGGAGATACCTTCTCAGATCTGACTGTGACCTACAGTTGGCACTGGGCTGAAAACCTCTTTTTGGGAAAATAACTCAAAAAGAATTCAACCTGAAAGTTCAAATATATGCAGGCATGTCGAGCTAATGGGGAGAGAGGCAGCACTTGGTGAGGAAAAAAAAAAGCAGGGGGTGGAATAAGTCCTCCAAGGTCCTTAAGGTCAAAAGGAGATATAAGTTCTGGGTCACCCAAGACTGCTCCAACCTAATCACCCCAGCCTCTTGTCAGCAGCTGTGGAGGACAAAGCTGACTATGAAGCCCTGGGAACTTAGGTGGCTACTACAGGAGCCCCAAGCCTCAGAACACAGAGGAGTGAAGACATGTTCTTGTTTCCTGCAGAAGCACTTTGAGAGCAGGTATCCCAGGAAAGAGCAGCGATGCTGAATAATTCACAACCCAGACACAGAGCTGAGGCCAAGAGCAGTGAGCAGAGAGCAAAGCGACTGCCCAGGGGCACAAACTCTAATAAAGGGAACTTGCAGGAGCGGCTTAGAAGTGACTGCAGCTACCAAGCACATGGTGCCCAGCCACAGCCCCTCCAGAGGGGATGGATCACAAAGGGGAGGTCTGGGTGGAGTGGCCTGGGGCTGCCCAGGGCAACAGCAAGGACCATAGAAAGCATGATTCAGATAAGGTCACCACAGAGGCACAGGTGGTGGCCAGGGAAAGATCCTGGAAAACTTGGAGACCACGCCACCCCCCTTGAGTTTACCAGAGAAACCAAAAAGTCAAAAGAATCCTGGGAAGAAAATGCCCAGTCCCCTACAGCTAAGCAGAGGAGGTCAAATGCACACACACACAAAAAAAAATTTAATGATTTCTGGGAGCATTCAGGTTTATATTTGGAAATAAAAAGTCACAAATAATTAAAAATAAATTTTAAACTTTAAAACTTTTAGTAATCTGGAAAAATTACTAAGAAAGTGTATTCAATTTTTTAAATCAACCTGAAGGACACAAATTTTCCAACACAGGAAAGAAACATACTTATTTTAAAACATTGCCAGTAAGGCTTCCTTGTTTCTAAACAAATCACTTGCACTTACTATAGGCCCACAGATGGACCTCCCCACCTGGCAGGAATGATTTTTTGCCTGCTTTAAAATCCAAAGGGACCCATGGCTCCAGCTTCAGGTGTTCAGCCCACATGAAGAATGGGCTCCCAGCAGCTCAGTTAGGGGCCCGAAGCCTGGAGAAAGTTCAGAGTTGGAACTGGCCATTTGGAGACTATATATGGGGCAGGGACCCCACTGGGGATTCACCCTGGAACGAAACAGTCTAAATAATGTGTTCCTTTCAGTCTCAAATCTAGTAGGTGCACTGCCTCCAGGCTGCCCAAGCCATTAATGCACAGTGACAGCTGAATTTCACTGCTTTTCACTCCAGCTCCACAGCAAAGCCCGAGTAGAAATAATCCTTTTATCTCCCAATAAAGGAGAATTACCGGCATTTTGTAGCTCAGCTCTCTTTGAAGAGCCATCTTTGGAAGCTGGGGCTTTGCATTTCCTGAAGTGGTCAGATTAAAGACGCTTTTCACTGATCTCATTGGCAGATCGGAGAGCAAGGTAGTTGATTATATTGTCACCTAGTAGCCTTGTGGAAAGTATTTTGAGTTTCCATTTTAAACAGATTTCAGAGCACAAATGTCATTTTCAAAAACTTTTTGGAATGACCAACTATGTCTTTAAAACCCAGCTGTTACACACTGTTTAGAACCCAGCTGTTACCTAGGACCAGCAAGTGGAGACACTTCAAAAAGATATAATTTGGTCTGCTATCATCTTTCTTTGTCTCCCACAGGAATAATCCCACCCTGGTAATTTTCTGTTGACTACAGATAACATTGTATAAGGTAGTAATATCTCATGTTTTCTTCCATAAAGAGAGAGCTCATATTCCTCCTAAAATGCAGTTAAAACTTCATCATCCCAATTGGCAGAGTAACTGACATCCCAGCATGAAACTTAGCACCCCGAATACATTATTTTACTATAATTCTCAAAGTAACTCCGTGAGGTTACTGTTCTATGATTCATTTTTTAAATGGGGAAATTAAGACTAGGAACCTTAGGCTATTTGCCTAAGCATTCACAGATAGTCATTGGTGGAGCTGGAGTGTATATTCAGGTATGACTCTGAAGCCTGTGTCCCTCCCAAGATATGACCCTGGAAATCATGGTTCTCAACCTTCGCACCTTCAACAATTTGTACTGTATAATTCTTTGTTGAAGGAGAGGAGACTGCCCTGCATGTTGAAGGATGTCTAATTGCATTACTGGCCCTTCTACCCACTGGACACACACACACACACACATGCACGCACGCACGCACGCACGCACGCACACACACACAGAGTTGTGGCAACCAAAATTGGGTCTAGGCATTGCTCAAGTCCTCTGGAAGGCAAAATCACACCCAGTTGAGAACCACTGCTATAAATGTTTCTGAAGCATCTGCTGCCTTACAGTGCTTGGGTTCTGTGGTTTTAGGAAATGCAAAGAATAATTTAAAGACCTTAACAATATTTAAGAGTGGCCTTGGACTAGGGATATAGCTTAGTTGGTAAAGTGCTTGCCTCACATGAACAGGCCCTGGTTCAATCCACAGCACCACAATAAATAAATAGATAAATAAATAAATAAATAAGAGTGACCTTGTGGGGTATGCCTTAAGAAATAAGAATCAATTATAAGTATTTTAGTTATTTGCACCTAAAAACCTGTTATCATTTGTAATAGTGTGTCCTTTTCAATGAAGAAATATTCACACTACAAAAATGTTTGAAAATTGCTGCCTCGGAAATTCGGCACAGACTTCTTCAAAGATATTCAAGGTCTTCCCAGCTCAGTTCTTCTTTGCACCCTCAAACCCCACGCACTTGCAGGCTACATCCAAACAAGATGACTCATCATGGTCCAAATACATCCTCCACTTTTCTTGTTTCATGTCTCGGCTGAGAATGCTCCCTCTGCTTTCCCTATCTCTCCCAGTGCTGTACTTGCACCTCCATCTTTCCTGTGGAATCCCTCTCATGTCATTCAAATTTGACTTAATGTTCTCTGCATTTTCCATGAAGCCTCCTTGGCATAGCTATGGGGGTACCACTGTCTCCTCTGTCCATGGCTGGTGTCTTCTCTCTTCTCATTCAACTTGAGGCGAGTATGTGATCTTTACTGCTGGATTGAAAGTTGCTAGAGAAATCGAATTCTTTTCGATTTCTGTTCAATCCATACCTCTGGGCACACATGCTATGCTTGTTGGATTAAGTTGGGTTGCAGAACAGATTGAATGAATGAAGCTAAGTAAACTTCTAAAGGGTTTCTACAAGGATTCAAATACATCTCAAACATAAAATCTGGACAATGTAGTGAGGACAACAGAGCACTGAAGTTGGCCTCCCTAGTGGACAACAGCCTTGCCCCATTTGGCTTAGATGCTGACTGGGCCTCTGAGCTGGGCTGTTGCTAGGGCTGAACCATTTTGTCCAACTCAATCGCACCAAGTTGAATCATGTAGGGAGGGAGGCTGGCTTTTTTTCCCTGCTTCCCTCCCTGAGGTATGTTCTGGGGCAGGTCTGTGTCCATCCAAAGGAAGGAGACCTTTTCCAAATTTCTTAGAAGGTACCATATAAGCTGGTAAATTTCTAACAGGAAAATCTTTTTCACAGAGGCAAAGGACCCAGGACCAACATTTCACCCCCAGATTTACCATCTCTCTCCTCTTATTGCTCTGAATTCTGACCATGATATTTTGCCCCTGTCTTGTCTATGGGAGGTTATTATTGATTCATTAAATTAATGTTAAGTAATCATTTCATATTCATATCATTATTACTAGAAGTGGAGAAAATAAAACTCCTGGGCTCCTCTAGCTTATATTGTAGTGGATTCTTATTTCACCCCTTCCACAAGTGTTTTACTATCACATGACAGCCCAATATGATTAAAGTTATATCCAAGCTCAGATGTATGCCAGTTGTTTGTGTTTGAGCTTTTGTTGGGAGATTTTGAGCTTGAATTTTGTTGAGTAAAGTTTCTGAGTTAGATGAATGAGTTGGTCTAGGACGACCGTCCTGGCAAAATGACTTTTGCTCAGGTTGCCGAAGCAAATATACAAGAGTCTTGGCATAGCATGGAGCTCAGAGAACAGCCCCCAACAGAGAAGGTCTCTGCCCCTCTGGTCACGTAGTCTAATTCCAGCTGCAGCTGATTTCAGATCATCTGACCATGTCTGCATCCCACAGCATTCGCATATTGTGTTAAGTTGCAAACTGAGCAGTTTCCAGCAACCATCCTTGAGCCATTTTCACTCTAAAACTATCTGAGGAAAGCCTTCTAGTCATAGACAAGCAGGACATAAGTGGTCCCATCCATTGAAAGCCACAGGTCTAACCTTCAAAGTTCCTACTTGTAGAAACAGAAATTGCCGCATCTTGAGCACTCCAGTTGACCATTCACCTGTTGTATCTACAGATGGGAAACTGTGCACCAGCTACAATCGAGGGCTCATCTCAAAGGCAAAAATTAAGGCCATCAAGTACAGCATTGTCATCATCCTTGGTAAGCAATGTCCCTCCTTGGATTGCAAAACCGTATTAACGTTTCAAAACCAAACTAGTAGCAGGAAGCCCATAAAAGGAAGGAATTTGTGTATAGCACTTCTATCTTTATCTGCTTGGAAAGTAATGTGTGAGACTCATCAGTCCATCTGGGCTTCTTTCAAGGGCCAACATTTGGTTCCTAATCTTTCTCCTTATGAATAAAGTCAACCATTAAAGCTCTGTGTTGCATAACTTGGGAGTAAATTAGATTAGGACCTAATTAGCTGTTTATGCCAAGATCACCCTGTTAACTCAGGTGCTTCCTTTAATACACACTGTCCTCCAGGGCTGAAAACAGCAAAGGTGAGATAGAAGTACATTCCATTTCTTCTGGATATTTAACTTCCATGTCACTGCTAATACTTTCCTTATGGCCGTCTTTTCTGTCCTTCCTCCGTGTTGTCTTCTGCCCCTTTCCTTTCCTTTCCTTTCTCTCTATTTTTAACATTCCATAAAGTCACCTTGCACCTTCCTGTCTGAAATTTTCTCCTCTTGGATGAATTCATGGCTTCCTCCCCCACTTTGGTTTGTTCCCTAACAATGACATTTCCTTCAGCCTTATTGGCAAGTCTTTTAAAATAACCCTCCTCTAGCCTTACCCTAACGTGTTTATCTTCATGGTTCCTATACTTCTTCATGGTCCCTACTTCTGTGTACACACACACACACACACACACACACACTACTTACTACTTATACTACTTACACTACTTACTGTCTATCTCCCTTGCTGGAGCAATAAATCCATGAGGACAATGACCTGTTTTTGTTAATTACATTATTGTTATCAGCAAAGACTAAAATAGGGTTCCCCATACACTGCTCAATTAATATGTGTTAAATGAGCAAATGAATCGAGATACACAAGAAGAAAAGGGATTTGTGCTATCCCCTTTTTATTTAGCTGAAACACCCTCCTCCAGGCTCCTCTGGCAGCTCTTAGAAGCTCCAGGAGAGCATTAGCTGCATGTCAAATCACCAGAGCAGCCCATCTCTCCTTTCTAAAATGCAACTGCAAAATGCCAAACAGACCACAAACAGTGTGACTCAGCCAGCAGAATATGGGCACAAAACAACACCGCAGGCAGAACTGGGGAGAAAGTGCATACCACTCACCAGGCCCTGAGAAGCCTTTCTCAGAGGCTTCTGAAGTACATCAAAGGCTCTCTTTGCCTTCCCAATCAGAATCAGATGCACATTCCCTGGATGTTGAGCTGGGAAATGCATGTTTATACATTATTCCAGAACCCCATAAGCCTTTTATCAGGGACCATATTTCTAGCCCCTACAAGATCCTTTCAGTCTGCAAGCAGGTATGCCCATGAGAGGGTCAGTGAGTATTGGCAGACCAAAATGGCCCTTTCTATAACAAACACTTTGTAATGCCTCTTTATCACCTAAAATGGCATGTATAATACATTCTGCCTTGTATGGTTAAAAAAAATCAGTGTACTACTCCAACAATTATCTAAAGTAAGAATAGAAAGAAAGTAATTTATAATAAAATAACACCAATTTTGACATGTCACTATGTGGCCACACCTACATGAGAAGAATAATGAAGTAATCAGATGCTTACACCTGAACATCATAATAGCTACAAATAAAAACCAATACAGGTGTGTTTTCATGGAGGCATAAAGATATAGTATTGCTGTCAGTGACTTGATTTTCTAAGCAGACAAATAAACCATGGTAAAGTTCCGAATTAATCATTTCTCACTTACAAGGAAATTACATTTCTGAAAAATTCACTTTTTATTAAAAATATCCATGTACATATATGAAATTTGGGTTTCTAGCCTGGGGGTAATTATAAACCAACCAATGTCCAGTCGGACATATGAAAAATGTTTGGAGTATGAAACAAGTTTTTCCTGGTTGGGCTGCTGCCTATAGTATACAGTAGGATGGGCATCCCTGTGACAATCTCTCTCTCTCTCTCTCTCTCTCTCTCTCTCTCTCTCTCTCTCTCTCAACACACACACACAATGCAGTTTTACCTTTGATATCCCAGAACCACTTTTCTGAGCCAATGCTGGGGTTAACTACCCAGGGTCCAGAATTCTCATTGCTGTTTTTGTTTGAATGGGTCCCATTTAATACATTGCCATCATCATGAATTAATTCCTTATTTCAAAACTCCCAAGCAAGTTACAGAATCCCTCTTGAACAATTATGGAAGAAAAACTTCCCAGCATCCAGCTGGCTGAAGAAGTCCATTTGCTCCTACTCTTAGAAAAATCTTGTGGGTGGGAAAGTTGTTTGGGAGAGAAGAGTGGCAAAGCTGTACCCAGACAGTAGGGCAACACACGTGTGTGTTCAGTAAACCCCAGAATATGTAGCTCTGTATTAGTCTATGCTCTCTAGGGAAATATGAAGAGATAGATAGATAGATAGATTGATTGATTGATTGATTGATTTTGCTTTATTTTATTTATATATATATATATATATATATATATATATATATGATTATGAAGGCTAAGAAGTCTTAAGATCAGCAGTTGATAAGCTAGAGTTTCAGGAGACAGTGGTCTAAGTTCTAATCCAAGTCTGAGTTCAAAAGTCTGACAACAAAAGAATAGATGATTTAAGTTTCAGTGTGACTCCAAGCATGAAGTAGAAGACCAATGTCCTAGCTCAAAGACAGTCAAGCAGAGAGAGTGAATCGTTTGTCACTCAGCTGTATTGTTCTATTCAAGCCTTCAAGAGATTGAATGAAGCCTACCCAACCTAAAGAGGGCACTCTGCTTTTCTTAGTCCACTGATTCAAGTGTTAATCTCATCTGAAAACAGCCTCAGAGATGCATCCAGAATAATGTTTAGCCAAATATCTAGGCAGCCAGGGGCCCAGTCAAGTTGACACATAAAATTAACCCTCACACTCTGGATTCCCACATCTCACTCATTTTCTTTGAGGATTTGGAGCCAAGCAGAATCAGGGTCTTCCACACACCAATTGATTTGGACAGGGGTATTATTAGTTGGATGGTATTTTCATGTCATCAGTATCAACGCAAACAACTTTTCTAAACTGCATACACAGCCCTAAAACATCTCTGAAAGATTCCAGATGCCCCAAATCCTCCCAGTTGAAACTCCCATAAGGGCCAACTAAAAAGAGACCCCTCAGCTGTAGCCTCTGTGGTGCCTAATGGTTCACTTCTCCCCAGCTTTCATCTGCTGTTGGAGCCCATACTTCCTCTTTGACATTTTGGACAATTTCAACCTCCTTCCAGACACCAAGGAGCGTTTTTATGCCTCCGTGATCATTCAGAACCTGCCAGCACTGAATAGTGCCATCAACCCCCTCATCTACTGTATTTTCAGCGGCTCCATCTGCTATCCCTGCAAGTAAGTGGTACTCTTACCTGGGTCAGACACACTGATGGCCACCACATTCTGACTCCAGCATGGGTGTTCTTCATCCCAAAGCAGGTGACAGACTCACTGTTTTATAGATGAGACATGAGAGATCAGAAAATTTCCACTAATGTGACAGATTTAACCTAGATTGAGCTATACAGTCAGTGCTCTTTCTTCTATACCACTTCCTATAATAACGGCCTTAATCATGACACATTTAGAAGGTCTTTATTTTGTTTAAAGTTTCTCTATATGAATTGCTTCAATATAATTCTATCATGGTAACAGGAAATGGAACATCTTTACTATTTTAGAGCTAAACAAAGTAAGACTCACAGATGAAATGGCCTTGCTGAGGTTATATGAATAACTAGTAGCAGAGCTAAAATTAAATCCCTTCCATAACTATTGTCATTCTGTTGGGTTTCACCTGTTTTCCTTCACAGGCTAGGAAGAAGGTAGAGAAATTAATAGGAAATAGAATAGTGGAATGGTTTAAGGTTTGGACTTAATACCACTGACAGAAGTTTAAATCCTGCCATTGTTTACCCATAGCTATGTGTGATCTTGGACAAGTTTTTAAACTTCTAAAAACTTTAGTTTCCTCCTGTGTAAAATCTTGGCCAATAGTGTTTCTGTCCACTGGGGTTTGGTGCTGACCAAAGGTCTGTAAGTGGTGGAGAGGGAATGTCAGGATATTACCTGTCAAGGGTCTATCCATTGTCTGATCTTTAATAATCCTTCATTAACAATTATCTCTTAGTATCTCTACTTTCCTTTACATCAGGATAAATTATTTTCCCTTACTACTTTATTCTGACTTTTTCTAGAGAGCAAAGATCACAAGACTCTAGAATGACATGCCGAGAAAGAACGGAAAGACATGAGATGCAGATTCTGTCCAAGCCAGAATTCATCTAGACCCTTGGACAATTGCAGTTGTAGGCGGAGTCTCATGAGCTCTTTAGGTCCCCACAGTCAGCTGTGCATGTGCAAGGAGCCTGAGCCGATTTCTCCACCCTGCTCCTGTCATCACTTGGGAATGTTCAAGATACATGTTCTAATGAGGGTGTGTCATCTGCAATGGCAAGTATTAGCCAAAACCAACTCACCAACTATCCATGGGAACCAGGAAAGACACTCTTTCCTCCTCCTCTCTTGCGATTTCCAGCCCTCCTTCCCTTTGGCCGCACCCAAACCCAATGGACAGAGATGGTACTGACCCAGGGTCCTGGTTTGGATAAGCAAGGAGATACAGAAGCAGAAGGGACAAAAGGGGGAAAAAAAGGTTATTCATAAATCTTCTAATTATAATTTTAAAAGTAAATAAAAGACTTAATAAAGACTAGACTTTTTATCTCCCAGTTTTGGATTGGAGGTTTGGTGGTTGTAGCCAAAAAGAAGTTTGCCCTTGAAATGCCAACAAATTTACTTTCAGACACTGGTGCTTTGCATGTCCTCAGTGTGCAGGTGGATGCATTGGCAGCAGCTAAACTCACATTTCTGTTGTATCAACAAGCAATTCATGGAAAGAACACAACTACTGGCCCTCCATAACAAGGTCAAGTGTAAGGGTATTTTCTCTGATGGGAAAAATATTGTGATAGGAAACCATGGGTCCTTCACCTCCAGCCCCAGATTGCTGAGACCTGGAACTCAGGGATCTTTGAGTATCTCTGAAGGCTCTTCCCTCTGTATCCAGTGTTTGGGTCACTCTGAATTCCATTGCTCACACTCAGGGTCACTTCTACCCCTTGTAGCCCTCCAATCCTCTCTTCAGATAGGAGCTGAGTTCCTGTGGTTTTTCCAGGCATGACGATTCTGTAAGCTCTTTACCAGTTTTGCATGCTGTAGTCTTTGTCTATCTAACACCTCTGCCAAGAAGCACTGGTGGGGTTTATTTTGACAGGTCTGGAGTTTGGTATTTATAAGCATAATCCAAGTGAAATATGACTAAATGTTTTAAAGTTAATTTTTTCCTTTAGATTTTTCTATAAGTGGAAATGGAATAATTAAATTTGATTATGTATACATCCCCACCCACGGCTCTGGGATGCGCATGAGAACCTTATTTTTAGCTTCACATACATTCTTGACATTAAAATCTCCTTGGCAAAATCCTCTCTTCCAGAGTTGAAATCTTTTTTTTTTCTTTTTTTTTTTTTTTTGGCTGACTGCTAGTGGAATCATTAAAATGTTCAGTATATTTTAATAGCACTCCATTCCTCATTATGGTATCAACTCAAAGGCTGCATGTTTAAGGTCATGGTGGCAATTTTTTCCATAAATCGTCGTTTCAATTCCATCTGACCTTAGGGAAAGTATCTTTTTAGACAGAAATCAGACACACCATCTCTCTGAAAATTATTCTCTGAACATGAGGAAGCTGAATAATCTAGTTTTATGTCTACACACCAGTTTTGAAGACTGCTTTCTTCTCTGTCCAATCAGCTAAACTTGAGCAACCCTGGATGCTTTGAGTGGTTGAGAAGTGCTTTTCAACATTTCCTTTTAAATCAAGATGTGCCACAGAAGACCTACATAATTGTTGCTAAAATAGCTGCCTGCACAGAAGCCAATTAACAGAGCAGAATCTGGCAGGTGTCCTAGACAGCAAAACAGGAGGCCCAGGTTCTCTTGACAGATGCTTTCAATCTCTGTCAAGTTCCGGTCTGCAAAAGACGTCACATGCCTACCTCATCCATCAGAAGATTCATAAGTTGAAGAGAGGGTGCAGTGAGGGGCTTTGTGATCTTATGAACTCTGAATGCGATTTATAGCTGTTGTGATGCTCTGTTTCTCATGCCCTGAGAAGACTGGAGATCAGTAAGATAATGGGACAGATTGCTGCAGGATGAGATGCCATTAAAATGAAAATTGCCTTATATTAATGAGCTTCTGGAATCCTCATTTCCATGCATTTGCTTGGCTTGGGAAAACCTGATTTAAATATTATGGCAACAATAGTACTCATTAGTCTCATGACCTTGGGAGAATTATTTCATGCCCCTGGGCATCAATTGTCTTATCTGTAAGATGGGACCAAAATAAGGCTGGAGCAGAGGATCTTGGGGGCCCTTAAAGATCCAGGCTCTAATATTGCAATGGCTTAAAGTCCATCTGGAGAGGGAGCTTCTGGGATTCTCTCCCAAAGAAACCAATGACTCAGTAACTCAAAGCTTAGTCATTTGCCCTTTAGAGGTGTAATTTCCCTATCTATCACTAGGAACTCAGAGAAACATCATTTCCCAGGAAATAGTTTGAGCTCTTAGAGAAAATTAGAAGTTTAGGGTGATGGTGTCACTTTTTATAGACTTTGATGGCCAAGTGGGACCAAAGAAGCTAGTGGATGGTATATAAATAAAGGTGCTTACTTCCCACGCTAAGATGTCAAAGAGGGTTACATTATCTCATAGCTTCAGGGACAGGTGGAAATTTAGGATAACAAGAGTAGATGTGCTTAATATACTCAGCCACACTATAGAAAATAAGTCTCTCCACTTTACTGAACTAAATTAAATATGAATGGTAAAAGCTTCTCTTCTTTCAGGGCATATGTGAAGCATAATTTAATTGAACTTGGATTTCATCAAGCCATATCTCCCATTCCTTTTCCCAAAGAAAATTATAATAAATTTTAATGAATTTCATTTGTGATTAATCATGAGAAAAAAGTGTCCCCCTTAAACCAGACCAATATGCAGCTTAAGCTTGCTTCCTAGTTTCATTCAGACAACTCTGTATACACACATACAGAAATGACCTTGCCTCCTGCTTTTACATCCACAACGTCAATCACAAATGCCTGAGTCTGCTGTGGACATAGGAAAACTAAAGCATTTTAATAGGAAACGAAGTGATCTGATCTTCTAAAATCCTCTTAAATAAGTTAGAGACCTGCTGGCAGCCACAGTTTTATTTTGTTTTCATCATGATTTGAATATACCTCATCTTATATGGAGAGCTACCAATGTTCCCTACGACTTTTCAATTGCATTTGATTGCAAAGAGTTGGCCCTAACTCTTTAGGGGGCCATCCTTTTTGGTTTTGGAAACATGAAAATCCTATGCCTCATTTCTCTGTAATCACATTTTAAGAATTCATTATCCACAACAGGGCTGGTTCAGTTAACACTTTAAAAGTGAGAGGGGAAGGGAGGGAGTATGGGGTTAGAAATGATGGTGGAATGTGATGGACATTATTATCCAAATTACATGTATAAAGACACAAATTGGTGTGAGTATACTTTGTATACAACCAGAGATATGAAAAATTGTGCTCTATTTGTGTAATAAGAATTGTAATGTACTCTGCTGTCATATATAAATATTAAAAATAAAAATAAAAGTGCAATTTCATTCTTATAGAATGTTCAAGGGATGAGGTCTTGGATCATCTAGTCTCATGGTTTTCTGTCTGCTTGGAGACTCCTGAAGTGAAATCAATGAATCCAAAAAAAAAAAAAAAAGGCAAGGAAAGAAAGAAGACATAGAACAATTGAGACCAATAGGAAATATATAAGAAGATTGGTTTTATCCAAGTATATTAGTAATTATAACAAATGCAAAAAGATTTCATGGTCCAGTTAATAATCAATGATCATCAGACTAGATTAAAAACAAACAACAACTATCTATTATTCATAAAAGACATGCCTAAAGTATAAGGATAAAGAAAGCTTAAAATAATAGACTGGATCAAGACAGTCTATGGAAACAGTAACTAAGAGGTGATAATGACAAAGAATGAATAAATTTAAAGGCAAAAAGCAGTAGAGAAAAATAAGGATCATTCATTATGATAAATGGTTTAGTTTATTAAGATGAAATAGTAATTCTAAGTTTCTGGGCATTTAAAAACATGGTATCCAAAACTATTATTTAAAAAGTTGTCAGACTATGGGGAATTTTATCACACTTAATTCCATTAATTAAAGCAGACCAAAAGTAAGAAGGGTGTGCACAGTTCTAACATTACGAACACAGGTAGAGCACCACCTTGCCACCCCAGAGTAGACATTCTTTTTTTCAAGCACATGTAAAGCAGCTACAAAAGTTGACCATACACTAGGCCATCAAACAAGATTGAATTCATACAGTCTAGTTTTTCTGATCACAATGCAATTATGTTAAAAGTGAGGAATAGAGAGAAAACTAGAAAAATCCCAGGGGTTTGGAAATTAGGAAATATGTTTCTAAATAGCATTGTCAAAGAAGAAAACATGAAAATCAGAAAACAACTGTACTGAAAGATAATGGCAATATATATATATATATATATATATATACATACAATGTGTGTGTGTGTGTGATACAATATGTAAGGGGCAAGAAGAAAGATTCAAATCAATTAATAAAACATATCCCATGAAGTTAGAAAATTTCACAGTAAGGGAAGCAGAGGAAGAAAATAAAAAGAGCAGGAGTAAAATTAATGAATGAAAAACATAATAGAAAGGCCCTGCAAAGATATAATTCCGTTCTTGGATAAATAATTAAATCAATAAACCTCTGGTAAAACTGCCAAAAGGAAATAGAGAGAGAGAGAGAGAGAAGGAACAAATAAGCTGCATTTTTTGAAGGACATCACTATAGATCTTGGAGTCAATAAAGAGATAGTAAAATGATATTATAATTAAGCTTATGTGAAGAAAAATTAAAACTATAGATAAGTGGGACAACTTAATATATTAACTTAAGAAAAAAATCTGATAGTATAATAACTACAAAAGAATGTGCCTTCATTAGTGAATTCTACTAACATTCTAGATCAAAGCAGTTCCAATTTTATATACTCTTCAGAAAAATAGAAAAAAGGTGACTTTTAAGATTATTTCTGAGACTAGAAAAACCATAGCACCCAAACTCTACAAAGACATCACAAGAAAATAAAATTGCAAGTCTGTATTGTCATGAAAATTGATACAAAAATTCCAAATAAAATATTAGTAACCAAATCTA